TGTGTTGCTACCATGCTGTGTTGTCATGTTGTGTTGCTACCATGCTGTGTTGTCATGTTGTGTTGCTACCATGCTGTGTTGTCATGTTGTGTTGCTACCGTGTTGTCATGTTGTGCTGCTACCATGATGTGTTGTCATGTTGTGTTGCTACCGTGTTGTCATGTTGTGCTGCTACCGTGTTGTCATGTTGTGTTACTACCATGCTGTGTTGTCATGTTGTGTTGCTACCATGCTGTGTTGTCATATTGTGTTGCTACCATGCTGTGTTGTCATGTTGTGTTGCTACCATGCTGTGTTGTCATGTTGTGTTGCTACCATGCTGTGTTGTCATGTTGTGTTGCTACCGTGTTGTCATGTTGTGTTGCTACCATGCTGTGTTGTCATGTTGTGTTGCTACCATGCTGTGTTGTCATGTTGTGTTGCTACTATGTTGTGTTGTTGTGTTGCTACCATGCTGTGTTGTCATGTTGTGTTGCTACCATGTTGTGTTGTCATGTTGTGTTGCTACCATGTTGTGTTGTCATGTTGTGTTGCTACCATGTTGTGTTGTCATGTGTTGCTGCCACGGTCTCTCTTTTTGTAGTGTTGTGGTGTCTCTCTAGTCGTGATTTGTGTTTTGTAATTATAATTTTTTTAAATCCCGTGTTCTGGCATTTTGGCCACCTGTAATTTTTTGTTCTAGGAAATGTATGATTAGACATGTTGTTTTACCACCTGCTCATCAAATAGATGTTATCTGTCTCAAAAACAGCAAACATTTGTAACTTGTATAACAATTGAGGGTAAAACAGGGAATAAACTAAATGTTTCCACAACAGGGTTGGGATAAGGGCGTTGCTCCAGGCAAAACAGTATGAACACGAGACTGCTGTCTTTTAATCAACGCATATCTTCAAAATTAGCCGATTTAGATCTTGAATTTGTTCTGTGGATGAAGGATTTGCACTGTTGCTAACAAATAAAGCCAAATCTTACAACATTTAAAACATGATCCAACAACCTTGGATATGGAAACCTGTGACACATGCACTTTATAGAATAATGTCATCCACACTAAAGACACACCTCTTCACACAGGCTTACCCAGATTCTCTGTTGCCTTAGCTTTCCATCCTCTGTCTAGTTCACTTCCCTGGTTAGTCTGTCATCATGTTTAGTGTTCTCCCTGGTTAGTCTGTCATCATGTTTAGTGTTCTCCATGGTTCGTCTGTCATCATGTTTAGTGTTCTCCATGGTCAGTCTGTCATCATGTTTAGTGTTCTCCCTGGTTAGTCTGTCATCATGTTTAGTGTTCTCCCTGGTTAGTCTGTCATCATGTTTAGTGTTCTCCATGGTTAGTCTGTCATCATGTTTAGTGTTCTCCATGGTTAGTCTGTCATCATGTTTAGTGTTCTCCATGGTTAGTCTGTCATCATGTTTAGTGTTCTCCATGGTTAGTCTGTCATCATGTTAGGTTCCATGGTTAGTCTGTCATCATGTTTAGTGTTCTCCCTGGTTAGTCTGTCATCATGTTTAGTGTTCTCCATGGTTAGTCTGTCATCATGTTTAGTGTTCTCCTTGGTTAGTCTGTCATCATGTTTAGTGTTCTCCATGGTTAGTCTGTCATCATGTTTAGTGTTCTCCATGGTTAGTCTGTCATCATGTTTAGTGTTCTCCATGGTTAGTCTGTCATCATGTTTAGTGTTCTCCATGGTTAGTCTGTCATCATGTTTAATGTTCTCCATGGTTAGTCTGTCATCATGTTTAGTGTTCTCCATGGTTAGTCTGTCATCATGTTTAGTGTTCTCCATGGTTAGTCTGTCATCATGTTTAGTGTTCTCCATGGTTAGTCTGTCATCATGTTTAGTGTTCTCACTGGTTAGTCTGTCATCATGTTTAGTGTTCTCCATGGTTAGTCTGTCATCATGTTTAGTGTTCTCACTGGTTAGTCTGTCATCATGTTTAGTGTTCTCCATGGTTAGTCTGTCATCATGTTTAGTGTTCTCCATGGTTAGTCTGTCATCATGTTTAGTGTTCTCCATGGTTAGTCTGTCATCATGTTTAGTGTTCTCACTGGTTAGTCTGTCATCATGTTTAGTGTTCTCACTGGTTAGTCTGTCATCATGTTTAGTGTTCTCACTGGTTAGTCTGTCATCATGTTTAGTGTTCTCCATGGTTAGTCTGTCATCATGTTTAGTGTTCTCCATGGTTAGTCTGTCATCATGTTTAGTGTTCTCCATGGTTAGTCTGTCATCATGTTTAGTGTTCTCCATGGTTAGTCTGTCATCATGTTTAGTGTTCTCCCTGGTTAGTCTGTCATCATGTTTAGTGTTCTCCCTGGTTAGTCTGTCATCATGTTTAGTGTTCTCCCTGGTTAGTCTGTCATCATGTTTAGTGTTCTCCATGGTTAGTCTGTCATCATGTTTAGTGTTCTCCCTGGTTAGTCTGTCATCATGTTTAGTGTTCTCCATGGTTAGTCTGTCATCATATTTAGTGTTCTCCCTGGTCAGTCTGTCATCATGTTTAGTGTTCTCCATGGTCAGTCTGTCATCATGTTTAGTGTTCTCCCTGGTCAGTCTGTCATCATGTTTAGTATTCTCCATGGTCAGTCTGTCATCATGTTTAGTATTCTCCATGGTTAGTCTGTCATCATGTTTAGTGTTCTCCATGGTTAGTCTGTCATCATGTTTAGTGTTCTCCATGGTTAGTCTGTCATCACGTTTAGTGTTCTCCATGGTTAGTCTGTCATCACGTTTAGTGTTCTCCATGGTTAGTCTGTCATCATGTTTAGTGTTCTCCATGGTTAGTCTGTCATCATGTTTAGTGTTCTCCATGGTTAGTCTGTCATCATGTTTAGTGTTCTCCCTGGTTAGTCTGTCATCATGTTTAGTGTTCTCCATGGTTAGTCTGTCATCATGTTTAGTGTACTCCCTGGTTAGTCTGTCATCATGTTTAGTGTTCTCCATGGTTAGTCTGTCATCATGTTTAGTGTTCTCCCTGGTTAGTCTGTCATCATGTTTAGTGTTCTCCATGGTTAGTCTGTCATCATGTTTAGTGTTCTCCATGGTTAGTCTGTCATCATGTTTAGTGTTATCCATGGTTAGTCTGTCATCATGTTTAGTGTTCTCCATGGTTAGTCTGTCATCATGTTTAGTGTTCTCCCTGGTTAGTCTGTCATCATGTTTAGTGTTCTCCATGGTTAGTCTGTCATCATGTTTAGTGTTCTCCATGGTTAGTCTGTCATCATGTTTAGTGTTATCCATGGTTAGTCTGTCATCATGTTTAGTGTTCTCCATGGTTAGTCTGTCATCATGTTTAGTGTTCTCCCTGGTTAGTCTGTCATCATGTTTAGTGTTCTCCCTGGTTAGTCTGTCATCATGTTTAGTGTTATCCATGGTTAGTCTGTCATCATGTTTAGTGTTCTCCATGGTTAGTCTGTCATCATGTTTAGTGTTATCCATGGTTAGTCTGTCATCATGTTTAGTGTTCTCCATGGTTAGTCTGTCATCATGTTTAGTGTTCTCCATGGTTAGTCTGTCATCATGTTTAGTGTTCTCCATGGTTAGTCTGTCATCATGTTTAGTGTTCTCCATGGTTAGTCTGTCATCATGTTTAGTGTTCTCCATGGTTAGTCTGTCATCATGTTTATTGTTCTCCATGGTTAGTCTGTCATCATGTTTAGTGTTCTCCATGGTTAGTCTGTCATCATGTTTAGTGTTCTCCATGGTTAGTCTGTCATCATGTTTAGTGTTCTCCCTGGTTAGTCTGTCATCATGTTTAGTGTTCTCCATGGTTAGTCTGTCATCATGTTTAGTGTTCTCCCTGGTTAGTCTGTCATCATGTTTAGTGTTCTCCATGGTTAGTCTGTCATCATGTTTAGTGTTCTCCCTGGTTAGTCTGTCATCATGTTTTAGTGTTCTCCCTGGTTAGTCTGTCATCATGTTTAGTGTTCTCCCTGGTTAGTCTGTCATCATGTTTAGTGTTCTCCCATGGTTAGTCTGTCATCATGTTAGTGTTCTCCATGGTTGTCGTCACATGTTATGTTTCTCCCATGGTTAGTCCTGTCATCATGTTTAGTGTTCTCCATGGTTAGTCTGTCATCATATTTAGTGTTCTCCCTGGTCAGTCTGTCATCATGTTTAGTGGTTCTCCATGGTCAGTCTGTCATCATGTTTAGTGTTCTCCCTGGTTAGTCTGTCATCATGTTTAGTGTTTCTCCATGGTTAGTCTGTCATCATGTTAGTGTTCTCCCTGGTTAGTCTGTCATCATGTTTAGTGTTCTCCATGGTTAGTCTGTCGTCATGTTTAGTGTTCTCCATGGTTAGTCTGTCATCATGTTTAGTGTTCTCCATGGTTAGTCTGTCATCATGTTTAGTGTTCTCCATGGTCAGTCTGTCATCATGTTTAGTGTTCTCCCTGGTTAGTCTGTCATCATGTTTAGTGTTCTCCATGGTTAGTCTGTCATCATGTTTAGTGTTCTCCATTGTTAGTCTGTCATCATGTTTAGTGTTCTCCATGGTTAGTCTGTCATCATGTTTAGTGTTCTCCATGGTTAGTCTGTCATCATGTTTAGTGTTCTCCATGGTTAGTCTGTCATCATGTTTAGTGTTCTCCATGGTTAGTCTGTCATCATGTTTAGTGTTCTCCATGGTTAGTCTGTCATCATGTTTAGTGTTCTGTTATATACTTACTTATTTTAATGTGTGATTTTATAGCTTTTAAACCTGCTGATTATCTTGTATGTTAAGTGACTTTGGGTGTCTTGAAAAGCACTTAAAATAAAATGTATTATTATTATGAATCTATTTATAACAGTTTTAAGTGCATTTAAAAAATAAAAAACATTCAGATCCTTTTGAAGCCGCTACACAGTTATGCAGAACATAGTGCGAGAGCTGGGGGCAACTTCAATCCACTACAGAACAGATTAGGATTTGGGAAGGACACACAAATTAATCTGCTTTAAGAACAAGCCTGCACCTGTGCCTTACATTTAAAACATAAAAACTTCAGCTATCTGTATGGCCAGGTACTGTATGTGCAAAGGCAATATTTCACACACACAGCCATCGTCTCACGTAGAACTTAGACACCAGTGAACAATTTCACTGCTCTCTTATGCCATGAATTCCTGATTATACGCCACACAAATCACTTAAATCAGCCACACACACAAACACACAGTGGTTCCCTGGAAGTACCTCTCAGGCTGATTGGTTCAGGGTTGAGCCATGTCTGGCGTTATTTTTAGCCTCAGCACTCTATAGGCTTGTCTCATACCCTCCCTCCCTCCCTCCACACACACACACACACACACACACACACACACACACACACACACACACACACACACACACACACACACACACACACACACACACACACACACACACACACACACACACACACACACACACACACACACACACACACACACACACACACACACACCACACACACACACACACACACACACACACACACACACACACACAGCACACACACACACACACACACAACACACACAACAACACACACACACACACACTACACACAAACACACACACACACACACACACACACACACACACACACACGTACATACATACATACATGCAAACGCTTGACCTGTTGTTTAAACCATCACCTCTCATTAATCTTGATTGCAAGTTAATACAGGCTAAAGCACGCTCCATCTCAGTCAGGATTATAAGTGTTAGGCAGGCCCTCGGGACCTGCACTCCTTCTGGTTTTCTTTTAAGACTAAGATTAAGAGGAGACTTTATTCGTAAATTATAAACAGTTACCAACCAAAATGTGACTACTGCTTTATCCCAACCGCCGAAAGACGCACCTAGATATAGAGGTTGGAGCAGGGGACTGTTACATACATATAGAGGTTGGAGCAGGGGACTGTTACATACATATGAGGGTTGGAGTGTCAGGGTGACTGTTACATACATATAGAGGTTGGAGCAGGGGACTGTGTACATACATATAGAGGTTGGAGCAGGGGTACATATAGAGGTTGGAGCAGGGGACCGTTTACATACATATAGAGGTTTGGAGCAGGGGACTGTTACATACATGTAGAGGTTGGAGCAGGGGACTGTTACATACATATAGAGGTTGGAGCAGGGAACTGTTACATACATATAGAGGTTGGAGCAGGGGACTGTTACATACATATAGAGGTTGGAGCAGGGGACTGTTACATACATATAGAGGTTGGAGCAGGGGACTGTTACATACATATAGAGGTTGGAGCAGGGGACTGTTACATACATATAGAGGCTGGAGCAGGGGACTGTTACATACATATAGAGGTTGGAGCAGGGGACTGTTACATACATATAGAGGTTGGAGCAGGGGACTGTTACATACATATAGAGGTTGGAGCAGGGGACTGTTACATACATATAGAGGTTGGAGCAGGGGGACTGTTACATACATATAGAGGTTGGAGCAGGGGACTGTTACATACATATAGAGGTTGGAGCAGGGGACTGTTACATACATATAGAGGTTGGAGCAGGGGACTGTTACATACATATAGAGGTTGGAGCAGGGGACTGTTACATACATATAGAGGTTTGGAGCAGGGGACTGGTTACATACATATAGAGGTTGGAGCAGGGGACTGTTACATACATATAGAGGCTGGAGCAGGGGACTGTTACATACATATAGAGGTTGGAGCTGGGGACTGTTACATACATATAGAGGTTGGAGCAGGGGACTGTTACATACATATAGAGGTTGGAGCAGGGGACTGTTACATACATATAGAGGTTGGAGCAGGGGACTGTTACATACATATAGAGGTTGGAGCTGGGGACTGTTACATACATATAAAGGTTGGAGCAGGAGACTGTTACATACATATAGAGGTTGGAGCAGAGGACTGCCACACTGGGTGCCCATAAAGCAGTTGGTGTGGGGGGTTAAGTCCCTTGCTCAAGGGCACAATGGCAGTCGATGGCATCTAGGATTTGACACCAGCAGCCAGCTCACTTCCCAACAGATTATTTCCACAGTCAGACCCAGGATTCAAACTGACAACCCTCCAGTTGCCAGCTCACTTCCCAACAGATTATTTCCACAGTCAGACCCAGGATTCAAACTGACAACCCTCCGGTTGCTGGCTCGCCTCTCTAACCGCTAGGCTACCTGCTGCCCTTCTGCTGTCCTTTACCCCTCTCCTTTGTTCCCAATACCTCTTCTATCCTTTCTCTTTCTCCATCTCCTCTCCTCTCCTTTGTCTCTCTCCACTCATCTTTTAACAGCAAACAAAACTGATTTAATGTTGACTGTATGATATTGGTTTTGGACCGTACATACAGGCCTCCCGTTGTTGTCTAACCTCATTGACACTGGCTTGGATCTCATATGATGTTTCCCCAGTTAAGCATCAGAACAGAACTTCTCATTCAGCCATCTTCATACATCTCCTAGTACTGTCAACTAGATGGGTCTATTCAGGAACCACCTTTTACATGCAGGCAGGCATGGAGGCACACAAACGCCTGAAAGCATGTACGCACGCGCACACACACACACACACACACACACACAGGCCTTCCCGGAACAGGAGTAACCACCCCAGTGCTACAGGGTGGGAGGGAGAATCAGAGCTGTAGAAGGAACAAACAACAACAAAAAACGGTGTAACCCCGGGAAAAGGGGGGGACAGTGTGGAGGCAGAGGGGGGGAAAAAGGAGAGACGAGAGGAAGATTAGCGAGAGATTGAAAGCCCGGATCACCCCCAAGGGGATGCCCACAAGAGAGAAGCGACCCCGAGGGGAACCGAGAGAGAGGCGCGAGGAAGAAGGAGAGAGAGCCTCTTCTCTCTCCCCTTTTCCTCTTTTCTCCCCGGGGGGTTTTCCTTTTTTTTTTTTTTTTTTGGGGGTTTTTTTAGGTGTTCCAGGGTTATGTTGACGTTGTCATAGCGTTGGCTCAGTGTTGTCACCGGATGTCAACTGGCAGGACCGGAGGGGAATACCGCCCTCATCCAGCGCACGGCAGGTAGGGACACACACAAACCCACCCGATATACACCACACGCATGCACACACACAGACAACTGTCATTTCAAAAAGGTTCACAAGGACCGGGGGAGAGAAAACAAAAGAAGAGAGAGCGAGAAGAGAATATAGAGAGAGATCGACGAGAGAACAAAAAGCAGGCCAGAAGCGGGAGAGGAAAGAAGAGGAGAAGGAGAAAAAAAAGAACACAGAGCGAAGAACTAAGAAACACATGAAACGCAAAATAAATCATATGAAAAGAAAAAACAAAGCGATGCGCACACCCCAACTCCCACCCCACCCACCTCTCGCTCCCAACCCCCCCCTCCCCCCCCCCCCCCCCCCCCCCCCCCCCTCCTCTGTTTATTCCCCCCCTCCCCTCTCCTCACCCCACCCCTCCCCTCCTCCCCCCCCCCCTCCCCTCCAGGTCACATAATGATCAGTAACTACCTGTTGAACTACTTCCCTGGTCTGGACATAGAGAGGAGGAACTGCCATGGCTTCACTGCTCTGATGAAGGCTGCTATGCAGGGCAGGGTGGAGTGTGTACGAGCCCTGATGCTAGCAGGTCATTACACAGATGGACAAACAAATTCATGTTGTTTATATTTAACTAACTTTAACATATATTTGATCATTTATATTTCAATAATATTTAACTTCAAACAGTAACTTAAAGCAGAAATGACATCTACCAGTAGGGTGCAATGTGACATCTGAAGGATGTCGTCATACATTTTTCTCCTTTCCTCTCTATCCTCCTCTCTCCTCCCTCTCCTCTCTCCCCTCCTCTCTCCTCCATCTCCTCCTCTCTGTCTCCTCTATAAGGAGCTGACATGGAGGCGAGGGACTTTGGTCGTCAGCTGACCTCCAGAGAGTGGGCGTTTTTCACAGGACGCTACGACACCGCCTGGGCCATGACACGCCTCCACTCCAGACCCTGTCCTTATCAACTGTGTGACGCATACAGGTGGACTAAACTTGATGATGATGATGATGATGGTGGTGATGATGATGATGGTGGTGATGATGAAAACGACTCTAATTATCATTATACGATGTCATCGATATAATTTCATATTGTTATTCTTCCAATCGTATTATTTCCTAATCTGATATAATTGTTCCAGTCCAGAGTGGTCCCAGCTGGTGTCTCTAATAGCTAAGGCCCAGAGCCCTGAGGCTGTGGTAGCTAGACATACTTCATACAGTACTACTACTATTACTAGCTAAATCATTATATTCATGTAATTGTATTGTATTCCAGTTCAGAGTGGCCCCAGCTGGCTTCTTTAGTATCTAAGGCCCGGGAGCCTCGAGGCTGTATGCAGTACATATCAGACACCATACGGAATGCTCTGACATTCGCTAACATCACAGAGCCTGACGACGAAGGAGTCTTAGATCACCTAGTCACCGTGACAACAGCTCTGGGGAGCCCCTTCGTGGCGATGGCTTGTTCCACGGTGAGTTAGAAACATTCCTCTCACTTCTACTGTATTTAACCTCTTTCTCTCTCATTCTCTCTCTCTGTCTTTATGTTCTCATTGCTCACCCCCACTCCCTCTTATATATACCTGTTTGTACTTGCTCTTCAGGTGTGTCCGGCAAGCCCGCCCTGCGTGGGTAAACGTCGCTACTCTGTCCCAGAGATCCTCCGACGCCAACGGGCCAAAGAACTGAAAACCCAGAACCCTGAGAGGCTCGACAACCACCGCAAACTCTTCCAGAACTCACGGGTCACTCTGGTGCCCAAACCTCCAAAGGGCCGGCGGTCCAGCCTGCCGCAGCAGAACAAAAACCCCACCACGGCTAACCCTACCCTGGGTACGGTGTCTGGGGCTGGGGCTGGGGCCTCTTCCTCCATGGCCCTGCGGAAGACTAGCCTGCTGCCCCTGGGTATGGTGAGGCGTAGCAGTGTGCGGCCGGGGCTGTCCATTCCCAAGGTGAGAATCTCTAAGGCCCCAACGCCAACCTATGAACCTGAGAGGGTCCACAGGAAGAGCAGCTTTAAAGACGGAGGGGGCAACTTCCTGCAGCTCCCCAAGTGGAGGTATAAAGAACTGAAGGAGGAGAGGAAGAGAGCGGAGGAGGCAGAGAGGAGGAGGGTGGAGGTGGCCACGAAACGGCACCTGGCTGCCAGGAAGAGGAAATGACATCACAGGAGGAAGTGATGTCACTACACCCTGTCCTCCACTGTTGCCTAGGTAGCAGTTCAGAGGGGGTTTGATACTTGAAATGTTTGATGTCTTATTTTCCTATTTATTAGCTTTTGGGGGGAGTAAGTCACAGTGCTTTATTTTGTAATGCATTTTATTTATAAAATCAGCAGTATTTTTATAGTGTGATTTCTGTATTACCTGGCACTTACCCAGGTTACAAACCCATATGACCTGACTGTGGACAGATCATGTCTCACTAATATATCTTACACATCACAAATTGAAACGTTATTGCCTAAAATGACGACACTATACGCTTCGGGAAGGGTTAGAATGGGACAAATATAAAGGGTTAAAATATTGTGGATCCTATAAAACCATTGAGTAAGCCTACCAGCAAGTCAAACTGACTTATCGTCAGAGATACACATATGATAAGCTTTATTTTGTAACCAAAGGCATTTGACTGAACAATATGTTTATTTTTAGATAGGCACTGTGCTTTGATATGTTGAAATGGCGGCTACTTTATATTGGCTTTTTGAAAGCTTTTTTAATTCTGTGAATGTATTTTGCATATAGATTGTACCTCATCAGGTATTTTTTATTATGAGTATACTATACATAAACTTTTTATTTTCTACTAAAGTAGGCATATTTTGAGAATGTGAATGAAAAAAAGTCTTAGAGCAATATTATCTATCATATGGGGGAAAACTGGAACTATATCCTGAAACGTTTACATGTTATGAATGAGATCAAAGTATTGCTACACTGACCTCAGATCAGCATCAATGAGCACCTTCATCGTGTGCTTATTACAAACACTTATGTGTATTCTTGGTTGAGAAATTGAATAGAATATAATCGATGAAAATAATAGCCAGGAGGTAGGAACACAAATAGCAACTGGAAAGCCTTGATATAATATAATATAATATTATTATGGTAGGAATTGAAGAGAAGACAATTTCACAGTGAGAACCCCAAAGACAATACAGGCTTTAAGTGCCATCTTTAAACGTGTCTAATAGCCATGGTGATAAGTTGCTATGGAGTTACCGGGGGGCAGTGGTTGGGCCAAAAATATTTTATGTAAATAAATGGAGCAAGCTAGGCAGCAGGAGTGTAAAACTAAAATGCTGCCTCAAGGGAGGTATTCTGAAACGGAACATTTGGAAATGCATATTTCGACTCGCCCCCAGACATATCACAAACACTCCAGGTCAATTCTGTGTCTGCCCAAGTGTGCACTGGTTCGCTGCCCCTCATGGATTTAAAAGGAATGGACTGAATATGGATGAAACTCTCTAAACTCTCTGCTTATACGAGTAATTAAAAAAATATATATTTATTGAACAAGTGTACACTTCTCTCAGGAAGCCACACTGTTGTACGAATTCACAAAACGGATTCACATGGTTTGTATGTATGTTTGTTTGAGTGGTAATGGAACCAGAAGGGGACCAGCAATATCCAGGTCATGTATTCTACAATGTTCTTGTTTATGGTGAATAAAAACACAACTGGATTGCAATGCGCTCTACTGTTTGTGTCTGTGAGGGTGAGTGACTCTTTCTGAAACGTAAAAAATGTATCACATAGTTTCCTGATAAGTACCAGGTGCATAGTTTCCTGATAAGTACCAGGTGCATAGTTTCCTGATAAGTACCAGGTGCATAGTTTCCCGATAAGTACCAGGTGCATAGTTTCCCGATAAGTACCAGGTGCATAGTTTCCCGATAAGTACCAGGTGCATAGTTTCCTGATAAGTACCAGGTGCATAGTTTCCCGATAAGTACCAGGTGCATAGTTTCCCGATAAGTACCAGGTGCATAGTTTCCCGATAACTATCAGGTGCATAGTTTACTGATAAGTACCAGGTGCATAGTTTCCCGATAAGTACCAGGTGCATAGCTTACTGATAAGTACCAGCTGCAAAGTTTCCTGATGCAGGCCTTCAGAAAGTGTTCACACCATTTTACTTTTTCCACATTTTGTTGCGTTACAGCGTGAATTTAAAATAGATTAAATTGAGATTTTGTGTCACTGGCCTACACACAATACCCCATTATGTCCAAGTGGAATGATTGTTTTTTGATATATTTTTTAAATTATTTAAAAATGAAAAGCTGAAATGTCTTGAGTCAATAAGTATTCAACCCCTTTGTTATGGCAAGCATAAATAAGTTCAAGAGTAAGAATTTGCTTAACAAGTCACATAATAAATTGGATGGACTCACTCTGTGTGCAATAATAGTGCTTAACATGATTTTTGAATGACTACCTCATCTCTGTACACTCTGTACCTCAGCCGAGCAAAGAATTTCAAACACAAATTTAACCACAAAGACCAGGGAGGTTTTCCAATGCCTCGCAAAGAAGGGCAGCTATTGGAAGATGGGTAAAAAATAAGCAGCCTGAATATGCCTTTCAGCATGGTGAAGTTATTATTTACACTTTGGATGTTTTATCAATACACACAGTCACTACAAATATACAGACGCTCTTCCTAGCTCAGGGATTTCACCATGAGGCTAATGGTGACTTTAAAACAGTTAATCCATTTTAATTCAGGCTGTAACACTTTTTTAAAAAAAGAATAACTCAAGGGGTATAAATACTTTCTGAAGGCACTGGAAGTACCAGTGAAAACAGTCATGTAAAACCCATTGTTATGAAGGGAGAGGGATAGGCTGTAGACAGAGATCCATAAAATAATATTGAGATCACTGTTATGAACAGAAGCGGTCTGAGATAATCACCTGAGATTATAAACCCTGAGACGTGGTCAGCAATTCTGTCAGCCTGGCAAATCTCCCTCTGCAAATCCACCTCCTAACCGCATATCTAGGATGAGATTAGCCAAAATCCAATCGTTAACCATTCCCAAACGCATAGCAGGGCTGGGAAACTCAGACTGGCACACTCTGCTGGGGGACAGGGGTACTGCAGACCAGGCAAAATTCACTCTCACTATGAAAAGACAAACATATAATCACTGATTTAGAAAATGGCCATGATAAGGCTTTAGAAATAAGCATGACAACTATTTTATCCAGTATTTAGTCCTTCGGTATCAGTGCTCATGAAGGGAAAGAAGAGTATTAGGACATAGTATCAGTATCAGAGGTCTGTGTCGAGGTCACCTACAGTCACCCTATCAGATAGCCCTGTGGAAAGAAACATGCAGGCCTTGACCAGAGAGAGACTGTTGTAATCGCTTTCACGGCTAGGGTCAAAGGCAAGGTTAGGGTTGAGGTTAGGGTTAGGGTTGAACCGTGATGTGGACATGAAGCTAAGGGTTAGGGTTAGGGTTGAACCGGGATGTAGAGATGAAGCTAGAGTTTGGATTAGGGGGTTAACAGCGGGAAGTCTGAGGAGTCCTGATGCCATTTTGGATCCTATGTGTTCACCAACAATATAAACTGGCTTGTAGAGCGATGATAGAGATATTAGAGATATGATAGAGATATGATAGAGATATGATAGAGATATGATAGAGATATTAGAGATATGATAGAGATATGATAGAGCGATGATAGAGATATGATAGAGATATGATAGAGATATGATAGAGATATGATAGAGAGATGATAGAGATATGATAGAGATATGATAGAGATATGATAGAGATATGATAGAGAGATGATAGAGATATGATAGAGAGATGATAGAGATATGATAGAGATATGATAGAGATATGATAGAGATATGATAGAGATATGATAGAGAGATGATAGAGATATGATAGAGAGATGATAGAGATATGATAGAGATATGATAGAGATATGATAGAGAGATGATAGAGATATGATAGAGATATGATAGAGATATGATAGAGATATGATAGAGCGATGATAGAGATATGATAGAGATATGATAGAGATATGATAGAGATATGATAGGGATATGATAGAGGACCACAAGTGTGTTTTTGTGTTTACCTGAGCCCATGCGCGTCTGTGTGTGTGTGTGTGTGTATGAGCGCGAACATGCGTGTACCTGACTAGAGATCCCATGCACAGGCAGATGCTAATGTCACGTAGCACACCACCAGGTGATAGAAGCTAACATGTATACAATAAACTGGCATAGAGCCTGGAGGGCTGATGGTAACACTAGCTAAAACAACATCATATAATTAGTTCAAAAGTAGGGTATTATTGTTCAAATCAACAGAAGCACTCAATCATACATAAACCCTACAAGGACATGTCAAAACGTGCACGACAAAATATACATTTGAAATGTATTATTTGGGGAATTATAATAGCACAGCTGATCTGGTAGTGTAATGCTTTTGCTAGCTTGTATCGTATCATCCCAGGACTCACCTGGTCTAGTGAGCTAATGCTGTCTGACACAACAATGTGTGCTAACTCCTGGTCCAGAGACAGTGAGTGGTCAAGGGGGGAGGGGGAGCAAGAACACACACAACACTTCTTCCTTTCCTTCTAAACACCTCTCTTTCCTGCACTTCTTTCCCACAACCTCTAGCTACTTAGCACCTTATGTAGATGTGAGAGGACTGGACAGCTATAGGCAATGTGGTTGAGGTAAAGTAGGGCAGAGAGCGGGAGGGGAAGGGGGAGGCAGGGGAGAGTAGAGAGAGGGAGGGAGGGGGAGAGTAGAGAGAGGGAGGGGGGAAGCAGGGGAGAGTAGAGAGAGGGGAGGGGGGAGATAATAATATGGTGTGTAGTATAATATTATGGTGTGTAGTATAATATTATGGTGTGTAGTATAATATTATGGTGTGTAGTATAATATTATGGTGTGTAGTATAATATTATGGTGTGTAGTATAATATTATGGTGTGTAGTATAATATTATGGTGTGTAGTATATATATGGTGGTAGTATAAAATTTGGTGTGTGGTAGTATAAATTATGGTATGTAGTATAATATTAGGTATGCATAATACTAATGTGTTACAATCACTTAGTATAGACAACCAACCAGCTGTCATGACATTTACTTATGCAGTAACATTG